GGTCTGCGTTCAGTGCTGTGAAATATGTTCTGTCTACAGACATTTGAATACAGAGGTTTTAATGTGATGAGCTCCTCGTTTGTCTGTCCTGTAAACTTGGGTATTTATTTCATAGTTTCTTAAAGCGAGTCACTGTGGTCGTCACATATCAGTGCATTATCTACAGACACCACCGTATGTGGTTTCTCTTCTGTGGATGGCAAGTGCCTCCCTGTCAGCTCCAGAGGAATTTTCTTCTAATAAATCTGCTTCAGATGAGTAAGCATGCCAAGATAGATGAATCTGGTCATGAATTATTAAGGAGGTTCTGTAAAGAGGTTCCAGCCATTTACACTACGATTTTTGCCCAGTCTGGCTCCAAAAATGACTGAAGCAATTTCATGGAACATTTTTTTTCTGAAATTCTAACCTGAGTTTTCATTACTTCATGCCTCCCTTTCTGCCAGCAGGGTTCCCTTTTAATTTTGGTGTTTTTGATTTATCCATGTTCATGCCTTAGGCTTATGATCTTTTTAAATGGAAAATTCTATTTGACTGCAAAGGAATTTCAGGTGTTTGAAAACCTGTATAACAAAGCTAATACTCAGCTTTTGAAAAGCCGGGCCTTTAGTGATGGCCATTTTAAAATAACTGTCAGTCCTATTCTGGTTTTGTTGTTTTTTTTCATCACTATTAGAAATTCATCAATACATTATTTGTAAAAGAGTACAGGATCAGCTTGTTTTATCCCATGAAAACTTTTAGGTAAATTGAAATTTTAGGTCTTCAAATAAAACATCGCATGGTCTAGAATAGCTTGATATTTCAAAGAATCTGTATATGTGTATAGTTATATTCACAGATACATACACACACACACAACATATAGTGAAGCAATTTTCAACTGGTGTGCCGCAAGAATGTTTAAAACATTCAGTACCTGACTATTAGTCAGGGGAACTGACCTCTTTTCCCTTAAATTGTCAAAAAATGACAACAGCCAACACAATAGCCATTCAATGTGAATGAATCAAAATTATGCCTATTCTTGTGTCAGATCGGCAAAAATCGATTTTTTTGTTGTTATGCCATAGAGTCTTAGTAATTAGTTTATATGTGCCATGAAAGGAAAAAAGTTGAAAATCGCAGATATCAAGTATAATATGAACATTGTAATATGATTATGGCTATTGTATTCAATGTAATTAAACATGATTTAAGATTTAAGTTCCTTAAATTATCTTATTTTTAAATGGCAAGGGTGTCTTTAAATATAATCAGTATAAAAATTTTTTTAAACAGGAACCAACAGTACTAACCAAAAAGAAAAAAATCTATTTGTTGTACTGTGTTAAAATTATGAACTTTGGCCCATCCAAAAAAAATAAATAACATTAAGAGAGTGAAAAGGCAAGTCACAGACATAGAGAAGATATTTACAATAATACATAGATCCCATGATCTATCCAAATATCCAAAATATATTAACAAAGAAAATTTAAAGTCTATAAATCAACAACAAAAGACAGAAACCCAATAAAAGAATGAGCAAAAGACTTTAATAAGGCACTTGACAACTTTACAAAAGAGAAACCGCCAATGAATATTTTAAAAGAAGCTCAATCTCATTAGTCATCAGTGAAATGTAAATTAAAACCACAATGAAATGCCATTCTATATCCACCAGAGTGGCTAAAATTACGAAACTGCCACCACTAAAATAAATAAATAAATTAAATAAGATAAGTAAATAAAAAGATTGCCACCACTGAGTATGACACAGGTGTAGAGAAACTAGAGCTCAGGCACACTGGGGATACGACATTGGTAAGGTACATGTGTACCTGTAACCCAGCAACTCCTAGATCTGCATTCAGCAGACACGACATCTACAAGATTTTTCAGTAATAGCATATTCTAGATCAGGGTCAGCAAACTACCATCCACAGCTATATTTGTATAGCCCATGAGCTAGAAATGCTTTCTACATTTTTGGTGGGTTATTAGAAAGTTTTGTAAATAATAGGCAACAGAGACCATTTGTGGCATATAAAGCCTAAAACATCGACTATCTAGCCTTTACAAAAAAAATTAAAAAAGCTTGCTGATCTTTGTTCTAGACCTAAAAACTGGAAGTAAACCAAATGTCCATCAGCAGAAGAATAGATAATAAATTGTGTATGTTTATACAATGAAATAGCACACAGAAGTGGGATGGATGATATCTGGGCATGCAACAGCATGGTGGAATTTCACAAACAAATGCTAAGAATGAAAAGCCACACACACACACACACACACACAAAAGTACATCTTGTATGTGTTCATTTATATAAAGGGTGAAAATAGGCAAAAGTGATCTATGATGTTAGAAATAGGTTTAATGGTTACCTTGGGCGAGGGGTGGTTAGTTGCACAAAAATGGGCTTTGGGGTTCTGGCAAGATTCTGTCTCTTGGTTTGGGTGTTGGTTATTGGTACATCCACTTTGTGAAATTTCATGGAACTGTACACGTATTTGTGCACATTTCTGTAAGTTGTTATAATTCTTTTAAGTTTATTTTAAAAGTCATTATTATACATGAAAAACACCCATCTGCCCCAACAATGGAACTATAACAACCACAAAGTGATATTCCTCCATCATTAGAAAACCATCCACTCAAGCATTCTCACTGTTGTTTATTGCCTTATCAACCATGGCTACATCTTACTTGGATGAAATATATACATTGCCCTTAACTGGTTCCTTTAAAAACTGGCACTTTTTTTTAATAATCTGGCATCAATGGCCTCAACACATACTGAACTTACGCAGAGCTTGATGGCAGAATGTGGTGAGCTTGGTGCTTTGAAAGAATTGGACAGCAGACCTTCTGAAAACCATGAGTGTGGGTATAAATGCAACAAATCTGTGCCTATGTTTGCTCTTAAGCTTCTTTTCATACCATATCAAGCCATATCTTCTTTCCCCTGTATTTTCCAGGGGGTGTACACCGTCTAGAGTCTGTTGAAGAATATAATGAACTGATGGTGCGAAACGGGGACCCCCGGGCCAGGATGTTGGAGGTGTCCCGAGATGGCCGGAAGCACTCTCTACCCCAGCTACTGGAGTCTTCGGGATCACAGGTAGTCAGTGCCATGGAGCCTCTTGCTTTCTCATGCAGTCACAGTTGACCAGTCAGGGATGGAAGAGTACGCTTCTACCCTGGTGTCTCTAGACTTTCTTTTATCCTTTCAAAGACAGCAAGAGCATCTGTGTTCGGAAGAACTGCTTGTCTATGCGGGCCGGGAGTATTTGGGACTGGAGCTATTATACAGGGAGTGAGCACTGTTTGGGGAGGCTGGAAAGAAGTCAGCCTACTGTTTGAAAACAGTAGATGAAAACAGTCCCTTGTTGGATCTTGGCATCTTGATCGCCTTCCTACTATGTGTTTTAGAACCAAGAGCTGTCTTCAGCTGCCTGGAGACAATGGTACCTCATGGTCTGGTGAACCACCATCACTGGTTTAGTGTACATGTCAGGAGTCAGTTTAACAGCTGGGTGGGTGGACGTTGGGTCATGTGAGAGAGGGAAGTGTGTGTGTGTGTGGTGTGTGTGTGCCTGTGCTGTGCTGGGATCCTGCCTGTTACACAGTAATGACTCAAATAGCCAGGGTCAGAGGGGGCTGCAGAGAGGGGTGAAGTGGGCAATGATGTTAATATTCCAGGGCCTGCCCCCATAAGTCAGGGGTGGGGAACCTTTTTTTCTGTCAAGGGCCATTGGGATATTTACACCATCATTCGTGGGCCATACATAATTATCAACTTAAAAGTTAGCCTGCTATATTTGGTCAAACATAGAATTAACTCACCCCTAAAGCCTTGGCAGGGCCAGACCAAATGATTTCGCAGGCCTTATATGGCCCACAGGATGGACGGTCCCCACCCCTGCCCTGAACGGGAACTCTTTCTCAATTACATCATCCTCAACTCAGGGGAAACTGGGTAGACATCTCATAACCAAGTTGGAAGCAGACTCAGTCTCTGGGGAACCTGTAGAAGGTTCTTTGAGTCCTGGCACCATCAGACCAGAAAGTGAAGGAGCCACGTGGTCGGGCTGGTTCAGTTAGTGTGGAAATGAGAGGGTTGGTTGCCATCATGGCCAAGGATGTCTAGCCCTGAGATAGTGGCCTACTGAGGAAGCCTACCATATTTATAGCCTCTAAATACCTGTTTCTAACCAGGCTTCAAGGAACAAGGAAACATGGCTCGTAAAGATTGAGGGAAAATACTTTTTTAACCTCTTTGAGTTGTCCTTTCTCTTGTCTTCTCTTTCTACGTTCTACCCTTCTCTTTTTCTCTCGAGATTCTCACCTCTCTCTTTTGTTGTTCTCTCTTCCTCCACTAAAAAGTGTTGTCTAGAATAGAGCACTCCACTAAAACTGTCTGCGATGATGGGAATGTTTTGTACCTGTACTGCCCTGAATAGTAGCCGCACGTATCTACTGAGCGCATAAAAAGTGGCTGGCAAGACAGGGCTATGTTTTTTATTTTAATTATCTTCATTTGAACATAGACGGCCACAGGTGGTTGGTGACTACCATACTGGACAGCACAGGTCTAGAAGGTACCACAGGCCTAGGTTCCCACTGGTTCCCCAGGGGGAGATGGAATTGGTGCTGCTAGAGATTGGTGATCAGAGAGTTCCCTTACGAACCCACACGTGCAGCTGTGTGCTCAGGGGTTGAACACCCTTGGGCTGTGTTGGGCCTTTTCCACAGTGGTTTCAGTAAAAGGGTGGTAACCTTGCCAAGCCAACGTCTTTTTTTATTTTATTTATTTATTTATTGAATCAGACAGAGTCTGGGAGGCCAACATAGCTGGCAGATAGTTTGTAAAACTGCAAAACGTAATTGTTCTAAGCCGCTGGGAATACAAAAATGTTAGCAGACATCTCGTTTCTACCTTTGACTGTAGACTACATCCATTAAGGATACAAACTATTTCTGATGTCTCTTTTCTCATATTAAATATGAAGTCTTTTTTTTTGTTTTTGTTTTTTGCTTATAATGGAATATCTGTCATTTAAGAAATTTATTCTAAGAAGAATCACAAGGAGCTAGACTGCAGAAGTGTTTTAGCAATAGATTTGTAGACTCTCTTGTTTAGGTTATATTGGTGTGCCCTGCTTTCACACGTATGTACTGAGTGGTGGACAGGATTGAGATGGAGATTTGCTCTGGAAAATATTTTATTGTGCACATGTGAGGGATTAGACCTGAAGCTGCTGCAGTTGCTCAACGGGATGTTTTATGCAGAATAACAGTTATCTGGGTTTGCGGTTTGGGTTTTATAAGAAACAAGGGCTTACTAAGTTTTTGAGTGAGAGAATTAAGCTTAAAATGGGGAATGATTCCTAACCATGATTATGAACTTGGGGTGGGGGTTGGGGGGAGGGGGTGACTTCCAGGGGGGACCCTAAACCCAGGGTGGTCATCGTGCAGCTCTGAGGCCTCTGGGTTTCTGGTTCCTGACTCCATTCCAGAAAGCCAGAAGCAGGATCCACGGAGTACAGTTAAGGAAAGAAATAACAGATGTCTGCGGCCTCTGAGCCGTTCTTTCTGTGGAGGAAGAAGGTGTGGCCATTTTGCAGGAGGATCTAGTCCTCTGCTTCTATTTAAAGCGTTTTGTTTGTTTGTTTGTTTTATTTAAATCCTCATCTGAAGATATGTTTTTAGAGAGAGAGGAAGGGAGAGAGAGATCTCTGTGAGAGAGAAACATTAATCGGTTACCTCCCATACGTGTCCTGACTGGGTAACGAACCCGCAACCTAGGTATATGCCCTTACCAGGAATCAAACTTGCAGCCTTTTGGTGTATGGAACGATCCTCCAACCAACTGAGCCACCTGGCCAGGGCTCTCCAGTGTTCTTTATAATAAACTTTCTTAAAGCCGCTGGACCAGGGAGGAATGGCCACCTCACCCCAAAGACAGCTGAGGTTTTCAGAATCTGAATGTATCTGATGCCAGAGGACCAGAGGGTAGCTGGGACTCTCTGGCCTTCTGTCTGCTGACTGTAGGAATACCACATCGTGAAGAAGTCCACCCGCTCCCTGAGCACCACGCAGGTGGAGTCTCCGTGGAGGCTCATCCGGCCGTCGGTCATCTCCATCATCGGGCTGTACAAAGAGAAGGGCAAGGTGAGCGCTCTTCTGCCCGCTGTAGCCGTCAGGCGCAAGTTAGCATATATTTTCTAAATGGTTACTTTTTATTATTGTTTTTATATGAAATTAACAAACGTTTAAAGGGGAATAGATTATGTGTCCTTATGTGTATGTGAGTGGCTTCCCAGGCGTACTTTCCTGTGGGCCTCTGAGTGAGATGGTCACACCCTTTTGCCTTAACTATGGGCGTGGCTGGGGAAGACACCGCAGTTAAATACTGAAATGGGGAGGATGCCCTCAGGTAAGTACTGCAGTGTCAACCTGGACCTCCGTCTGCTTTGGGTGCAGGGCCTTGGCTTTAGCATTGCCGGAGGTCGGGACTGCATTCGAGGACAGATGGGGATTTTTGTCAAGACCATTTTCCCAAATGGATCAGCTGCCGAGGATGGAAGACTTAAGGAAGGTAGGAGAGAGCCTCTTGGTGTCCTCAGTGGGGGTGAGCTCTGCTTCCATGGGAATCTGCCCCTTTGCAAGATGTGGGGTGAATGCACAGCAGTTGGGGCTGTGGGCTTGGGAGCGGAGTAGCCTGGGCTGAATCCCGCACTTTCCACATCATAACCTTGGACAGTTGTAACCTGAGCTTCACTTTCCTCACTTAAAAACATGGGGAATTAGTACCAACCTTAAAGAGTTGTTGTGAGGATTAAATGAGATATGTGAAAAGTGGCTTGCTATTTTTATTCGGGTCTTAAATATCTACCTTATTCCCTTGATCTTTGATCAGGTTTCTTGTTTGGAAGATTTTCTGAGAGTTTGTGGACTGGATACGTACACATCTTTTTTTTTTTTAATTTTTATTCAGTAGAGCACATTTTATTTGGATTTATATAGAATTTTTTTTTATTGTTTTATTGCTTAAAGTATTACAAAGGGTATTACATATGTGTCCTTTTTTTTTTCCCCCGCCCTTGACAATCCCCTGGCCTCCCCTACTCCCCAGTGTCTTATGTCCATTGGTTATGCTTATATGCATGCATACAAGTCCTTCGGTTGATCTCTTACCCCCTCCCTCCTGCCCCCAACCCTCCCTGGCCTTCCCGCTGCAGTTTGACAATCACATCTTTTAAGTTCTCCACAGCACCTACCATTTTGCCTACTGCTCACATAAACATGCTAAACATGTGCTTCCCCCCTACACACTGCTTTACGGAGATGTAATTGATAGATAACTGTGTGAGTTTAAGGTGTATGACATGACATGTTGTGAAATGATTACCGCAGTAAAGTTAGTTAACACCTCCATCACCTCACGTCACCTGTTCTGTGTGTGCAGGGCGAGAACATTTAAGACCTACTCTCTGAGAAATTTTCAGGAATATAACTTAGTATTGTTAACTGTGGTCACCATGCTGTACATTAGATCCTCAGACCTTGTTCGTGAATTCTGATTTTTCTTCCTTTTTATGAACACACTTCCTTCATGAGATGATTAAATCACAATATTTCCAGTTACCTTAAAAAACGGCGTGGCTGCTCATTTCAGTTGGCCCAGAGTATAGGTGCTGCTGTATGAAGCATACAGTTGTTGTTTTTTAACTGGTAGAGTGAGTTGGAGTCTCCTTGTTCAGGCAGCGTGACCCTGGAAGCCTGGATGCTAATGATGAGACGTGAGCAGGCTTCATATTTTGATGGCAGAGTACTTATTTCCCTCTCTTAGAGGAAGCCTTGGCTCCCAGCTGGTGTCTGTGTCTGTGTACAGAACGACGGAAAGTTCTAGCAGCAGAGCATTTTCATAGCGGATGTGCCCTGTGTTCACTTGATTGACAGTCTCCCTGCAGCACTGGTGGACTGCAGCAAAACGGAGGCGAAATCAATAGTTAGGAAAGGTTAATAGCACGCGAGTCTTCCTAATACTCTTTTTTTCCATCTGTATCATTTACAATAAAGACAAGTCGTTGAAATGGATTTTCAACCTGTTGAATGGTCTGTCGTCTTTAAATCTTGTATGAAGATTTTTAAAGGCTGAGCAATCGTTTTAATGTTTCCATCCTTTTCCTATGTGGGAACAAACCCAAAACCTCACCTCGTTGAGTAATCAGCTGTGCCAGGAGATTTTTAAACAGATTCTGTCACTTATTTTACAACTTCTGCAGTTGCATTAAAGGGAAGGCACACAACAAATGCATGGGGAGTGGCTACATTTTACACTCAGGGGCAGGGTTCCTTTGATCAGGTGCACAGTCCCCGGGAGGGGAACTGAGAGATCTTGTGCTGCTTTGCACTCTGTCATAGGTAAGGGAAGTCCCTTTTCCGTCCTGCACTGCTGTGCAAGGTCCATCTCTTCTTCTCTCGGGGCCCCTTTGTGTAGCGTTTTTGATGAACTGTTATTTAAAAAAAAAAAAAAGGACTATGTTACAAGAGTACAAACTAGAACAAACTCTGGTAAGTCAACAGGATGTTCAAGTTCTTTTCTATTCCCAGCAGACACTATCAACAGCTTGAAAATGACCTAACTATACCTTCTTGGAGTTGAAGATGAGTCCGGGATGGGGGGCTGAGGGGAGAGACTGTGAATGCAGTTTGGCATTAGCCTACAATAATTTCTGACACAGAAGCGTATAGTAGCGTGCCTGCTTAATGATGGAGAACCTGGAGCACCACTAAGGCTGGGCATCTAGACTATTTCTAGAGGTGGAGCTGCCATTCCTAAATAATATCTCACAAGGTTTTGGTTTTTTTGTTTTCTTTTTGTCTCTGTTATTGAGACGATTTCCCCTGCTCTGTGATGATTCTCTGGGCCCAGAGATGGGAGTGGCTTCTCACATGTGTGCGTTCATGCTTCACTGCCTTTGGTTTTAAGTTTTTAAACAAAGACCATGAGGAAAGACTTGGGACTCCGTTTTTTGCAGTTTGATCTCTAAACATAGGACATCTGATATTAAACTTGGCAATGGCTGAAGAATAAGACTTGGATGCTTCCCATAGTTGTTTTAATTAAACGTGGAAATACAGAGTTACTGTAGAGAAATATGCATTCATTGCCCCATTTTGTGACATTCCTGGGAGCTAAGCTAAGGAACGTGGATGCACGTATTCACTTTATAGAGTTGTAAATCAGGGACCCTGTGGTATCCTGTTCGCATTCTGACAGATTCCCCTAAATTAAAGCTTGACGTTAATGTAATTCTCCTATTTGGTCACTAGGGGATGAAATCCTAGATGTAAATGGAATACCAATAAAGGGCTTGACGTTTCAAGAAGCCATTCATACCTTTAAGGTAACGACATTCTTATTGCTCTCCTTTATTTTCTGATGTTTTTCTTCATCTCCTTCTGGTTTGGGTTTGGGTTTAGTGTTGTTTTTCACCCTTTGGCATAGGACGGTCTGAATGTTTCAGCCCTACTTTCTTTTTGTTTCCTCAGCAAATCCGGAGTGGATTGTTTGTGTTAACCGTACGCACAAAGTTACTGAGTCCAAGCCTCACGCCCTGCTCCACCCCCACACACATGAGTAGATCCAGCTCCCCAAGCTTCAACGCCAGTGGGGGAACCTCGGCGGTGGGCTCTGATGAAAGCAACTCCTCATCCTTGGGTCGGAAGGCCCATGGGCCCAAGGACAGAATTGTCATGGAAGTAACGCTCAACAAAGGTGATGCCAGCTGGTGCTCACCTTTGTTACATGTTCTCACATATAACAATGTGAACTTTTTATACTTTTCCTATGAATCGTTTCTTTGGGATGACCTGCTACCAAAAACATATGGTATTCTCTAAATGGACAGTGGGATCAAAAGTGGAGATGTCAGTCATTTTCTAAAGTGAAGGGAAATTACCAGGAGCCCACAGGCCCATGAGCTCTCCCCAGATGAATCGCCATGTGTCCAAGACTCCTGTTTAAAGAAACCACCAACCAGCTTAATTCCAGGGCTAATATAAAAATTTAAAGAAGAAAAGATCATAGTTAAGAATACAGTTAACACCAGTAACTAAGTCACGGGTGGCCCCCAAATCATACTGCTTTTCATCTCTGTTTTTTTTTTCCCTCCCCACCCACTGTAGAAATATGAAGCGCAATTAAATGTCAAGGGATTAGGTGCTAAAACGAGGTAAAAGAAAACCTAAAGTTGTATATCCAAAATAAAATATATTACCTCGACTCTGCCTATTTCCAAAAAATAGATTAGCAAACTAAGCAGAGTAGACCGTTGAATAATTCCCAGTCCGGTTCAGCCGTGTTTCTGCCAGGACTGATTTAATGAACAGAATGTGACAATGTGGGCAAAGAAAGGCAGGATTTCACATTCTGAGTCTGGTCAAGAAATAAATGGCTATTGGTCTGAATATCCATTGATGCGGTTTCCAATCACTCACGCTTGTTTTTTGATGCTGTTGTTTTCTTTGAATGATGCCTCTGGCAGAGCCCAGAGTTGGATTGGGCATTGGCGCCTGCTGCCTGGCCCTGGAGAACAGCCCTCCCGGCATCTACATTCACAGCCTTGCCCCGGGATCCGTGGCCAAGATGGAGAGCAATCTGAGGTGCGTAGTAAACCTGGCATGTTCGTAAATATTCTGAGTACATACACGTCAGATACCTGCCCTGTTACATTCCTTTATGTGATTCTAAATGTTTGTATTAGTTGCAGAAATATAGCCTGGATTATAATTAATAGCATCTCCAAAGGTGAAAAGCTAATATAAGTGAAACTTGGTTGAATTAGAGAACTCTGGATCTTGGCTTTTCGGATGTTGTTCTATGTGGACACAGAAGTTCAGTTTCAGAAATGACAAAACACAACTCTATACAGATAACTGTGATTCTCTAAATATTTCCTTTCACTTCTATATTCAGTTATGGGAAATTCAGTGGAGATGCTGGGACTTGCTCATTATGATTCAGGATCACTGGGTACAAGAGAGTCCTCAAATCATGCCTTTATTACTCAGCATCATCTCTTGAACCTTTTCTGTTGTTTCATTCCTTTCTGAGTGGTGATGTCGAGATGCTTACTGTCTGAAGTCACTGCGTGTCTGATTTCTTGATCCAGCTAGCTGCTGCGTGGTAGCATGGGTATCCTGTTTATCCAAGACATGCCTAGGTATTCTGTTATATAATAGTTGCGATGGGTCTGTGCCCATCTAAACTTCACAAGAACATACATGTATTGCACAAAGCACTCTGTGCAAACAGTATCACCTTTCTTTCCACTAAGCTTCTAAGTCCTTGAGCAGTTGAGGAATTATCAAAATGACATTCCTTGAGGTTGCCATCTTGGGGCCCTGTTAATAGATTATATTATGTTTTTAGTTAATCATCAGAGTGAATTTCCATATGAAAAAAAAAGTTAGCAAATCATCCAAAGTACATTAAAGAAAATATACTTTTAGAACCCAAGGAAAAAAAATCCTTTAATGACATCCCAAGATGATGTTTCTTTCTTGAATGGTTCCATATGTCTGGAGCCTGCCAAATGAACATTCTTCAAACCCCATATAAAGAGTCTTTGTTCTCTCGTCCTGAGTTCTCTCCCTATAATTTCAAGTCAAAAATGGGCATCTTGTCTTCAATTTCTCATTTGTTCAAATTTGAAACGTTTTTACAAATTCTTGGGTAACCTTTGAGCTTCAGATATTTCCTCCTTAAATTATATTACAATAATCATTTCAAGATGGTAGGAAGAAAGAAATGGGTGGTGGTCCAGGGGCTATCACGTGATGATTGAGAGGTAGACAGACCTGAGTTCAACAGTGTGTGACCTCTAGCTGACCTCTCTGAACCTGTGGTCTTCTCTACATAATGGGACTAATAGTACCCCTTCAAGCACCATTCTGTGGATGGCTTTATACAGTGCCTGGCATATACTGTGTGCTCAAGAAATGTTAGCCTGCGTTGTTGTCCTTACTATCTGTTTTATTTACTTTTACTACTTCTGAAAATTTGGGTAGATAAGCATAATGACTTTTGCCAATTTAAAATCCAGTGTGTTTATATGAACGTGTTGCTCTTTTACATATATGCAAAGATGAACTACTTCTTTCTTCAGAAGACTTTCCTTGTTAGAAACCTCTCCCAGAAGAAAACCTTATAAAAAGTTGACTATTAACACAGTGTTGATTATGTTGCCTCCTTAGCCGCGGAGATCAGATCCTGGAAGTGAACTCGGTCAACGTCCGCCACGCTGCTTTAAGCAAAGTCCACGCCATCTTAAGCAAATGCCCCCCAGGACCCGTGCGCCTTGTCATCGGCCGGCACCCTAATCCAAAGGTGAAGTACTTCATACTGTTCTGCGTTTGGGAAGACGGCCTGGCTGTTTGTCCGGGAGCAGTGACACACACATTACAGTGAGACACATGCTCTTTGGTGGGTGGGGCAGTGCACTCGGCTAGGGATGGGAATCGGCCTGAGGCCACACAGTAGCTCAGGTGACAGCTACACGGGGGAAACGAATCATTGATCTGGACTTCTTCATCTTCATGTTCTCAGGAAGATTTATTAGACATTTCTGACAGTGTTATTGGTGAATGTAAAATTTGGTAGAAGGTAGCAGTACCAGGTCTGGTTAACCCCAGCTGGCCATGTGGATGATCTCTGGTGAGGTACTTAACCTATCTTGGGTTTCTGCATCCAGAGTATCTGAGAACATTACACAAGATGACTTGTCCAGGCCATTCCTGACTTGAGCAGAATACTTCTGTAATTAGGTTTAAGAGCCGACTAATATTTTTTAGCACCGATATCACTCTATTGACCCCTATTGAACTTGCAGATTATCGTAGCCCCTGTCCCCTAGGCCTCTGCTGTTATTTGGTTATCTCTTCTAAACATGTGCAGTTGCTTTTAATTTTTTCAGCTAGTCACAAGACACCTCAGCAAGTTCAACTCAACCCTCCTTGAATGCTAATTTTTGTTATTTTGAGCACTCAATGTACAAATTGTTTAAAATTAGTTTGTCTCTAACATTGTCATCAGGTTGTATTTTACAACATTTAGTCCTTTCCTTTTAACAACTCAGAATGCTCATTGGTCACGCCAGTTCGTTCCTTGCCTGTCCTGTGGCCACCAGCCCCTCCCTTGTATTGTTTGCAGGATTATTTGATTATGTCCTAAGTGGTCCCAGGCTGCTGAGCTTGTATGCCATTTTAAGAATAAGAAGTCTGTGCCAAGAGACGCTGTGGGTCCTCCCAGGTGCCACGCCTGGGATTTCCTTAGTGCATTAACGTCATAGCATCGTGCTTAGTGTCTCTGATGTTCACTGTGGCCCTGGTTCTCCCAGTGCCAGTAAGTGCTTCCGGCTGTGCCTCCATGCCTGGGCCTGCGAGGTGATGTCAGCCACGGTGCTTGGACAGAGGCTGTCATTAGACTGATTCAGAGTCAGCGCCACAGCTTCCTCCCCAATGCCCCCCCCCCCCCGCCCCCGCCCCCGCCATTGTTTTCTCTGGTCTACGTGCCTTCTCAAAAATGTCTTCCATAGAAGCTTCCTGGAAATCATTAGTATAAAATCAAGTTCTTCTACCTCTCCCCCGTTTTTCCTTGTCATTCCCCCTTTTCTCCATTCTGTTCTGCAGTCCTGACACTTTCCCTCGGCACCTGTTTACTCCATTTCCCTGCTCTCCCCTTGACGCTCTGGGTCGCTTCTAACATCGTTTTGCCTCATCATCACAGCCTGACCAGCTTCAGCTCCTTGCTCCAGAGCCCTCTCTTGGGTTCCACCACCCACATGGCCACACCACCTCTCACCTCAGGAAGCAGTCCACTAAGCTGTGGCTGAGCTGGCACATCCCTCAGCAATGCAATAGAAAGTTCAGTGCTCAGTGCTTGGCAGTCTGATGGCTTCAGGGCACGGCTGACTTCAAGTCCATTCCACTGCAACGCAGGCCACGGTCTGTTCAGCGGTCCACATCACCTCAGCCCAAAAGCACCTGCCTGATTTGCTAACCCAGTCAGACAAGCAAACAAAGATGGCATTTCAGTGCAGAGCATGATGATCCAGGGGGACTGTGGTCTGTGATCCTTGAACACGCAGGTTGAGTCGTGTTTCCAGCCGCAATAAAATGGTCCTCCTGATGGTGCGGGAGATAATGGCCAGCAAAACCACAGTAACTGTTTGGCTGCACTTCACTTTTCCTCCTAGGACCTAGGTAAACATGGCGTGCTCAGTTGTAACATCATACTATATTTTCCTTCTGGTCAAGGTTCCATTTTATGTTTAATGTATTTTTGTGCCGCTTACCCCAGCATTTCATACCAATCGTACAGTTTGATACTGAATGTATGTGCTTCCTTAGTGTTCATGTTGTTCCAAGAGAAATACCACAAGGGTTTTCTTTTCTTCTGTTTCTCTAACGGCTGGAGCAGTGGCTGCCCGCTTGGGATATTCAAACCCTCCAGGTCTAGACAAGCTGAGATTTGGACCCGCTCAGCAGCAGCGTC